CATTGTACCTGGTTTACCCAGAGTCAAATATAACAGCTAAACTAGGTGAGAAAGAGAATAATATTGGGCACAGATTCTGTGTGCCATTACCTTTAAGAACCTGAGCTTGAGGTAGAAGACATCCCTCTGGATCAGTTCTTAAAAAAACTTTTGTACAACATTATCTCTGAACTGAAGCTTACTACTTTATCTGCTTACTTAATTAAAGAAATAATGAATTATTCTCTCTCTCAAAAAAGCACTAGCTATGTTGGGTTTACTGTACTGTGCGAAGATATGATTGATGGTTTCCCATTGACCATATACAATTCTACTTTACTTGCTGAATTGAAAATCCTTCATAATACTTTCCAACTGATATTCTTGTTGTTATAATATGATTACACATTTCAACTCGACCCTCTGACCTTTCATTTTTTTCTTTTTTTAGGACTTACACATATTATTGAAACTCGAAAAGTCCTTGATTTAAAGATAAACCTGAAGCCTTCTTATCTCATAGTTCCACACACAGGCTTCTACCACAAAAAGTCAGATCTTCTCATTTTAGATTTTGGTACATTTCAGGTAGGTACATAGTTATTTCTGTCTGCCCATTTTTGCTTAGCTTGGTACCTAGCTACATGATAGTTTGCTTTCCCCCACTCAAAAATTACTTAAACCTAGACTTATTTCTTCTTAGTATTTTGTCAAGCCAGCTTAGATTACTATTTTATATATATTTTATGGCTATTAAAGAAGCAAAGAAAAACCTAAAATTGTTTGTGATAGTAGATGATTTGACCTTGAGGACTGGATTACTGTTGTCTTTTTCTACTTGGAGAGAAGCACTAGTAGTTTTCAAGCACTTCTAGGTTTCCAGAGTTTAATTTCACAGTGTTGTTAATTTTTTTATTTTGACAATAGGAAACAATACACATATGAATATATGTTTAATAGAGTAAGAGAAATTAAAGTTTTGTTTGGGTATTGAACTTTGTAGAAATCCAAGCCTCTGAGAAAATGTGAAGATTTAAAAATATATAGTCCTGAATTAATGCTTGCTTCTTTAAAAGATGGAAAAGGAAGTAGAGATTGGAGCTGAATTCTAATGGACTAGTTATTCTACATATGTAGTGAGGAGAAGAAGGAATAAAACCTGTTATTTCATTGTGGCAATAACTCCTGAGAGCTAGGAAGAGTTGTATGTGTAGACAGGTTATTTGAGATAGATAGCTATGTAATTACTTGCTAGTTAGTGCAGATGTGCTGAGTAATGTATTACTCAAACATATTAGAGATATATGCTGAAATATTACATTTCTAATAAAATATTTGCAAATAATTATCAGAAAACTAAGAAAAATGTGAATTTAATAAGGGCAATGTTTTCATTTTAGTTAGTTTTAAGAAAACACAACTGAAGTATATTGATTTATGTACTTTTCTGTTAAAAAATTGAAGTTTTTCCCCTTCATTTTAGCTTAACAGTAAAGATCAAGGTTTGCAGAAGAATGGTAATTCATCTCTGGAGGAAATAATGGATAAGGCATATGACAAGTTTGATGTTGAAATAAAAAGTGTACAACTACTCTTTGCAAGAGCAGGTAATAAGTTGCTCAGTTTTTAGGATCTTGAAATTATGTTGAGTAGCTTTTGTAAATATATGTGTATGTGTGCATGTAAATCAACTCTGATAACATTTTGAACACATATCCTGTTGGTTTCTTAACAAACCAAACAGAAAGCCATCTCACAGTTACAAGTAGAGATGAAAAATTTGGCTGTTCATCTTAGGGTATGGTACTCAGCACCATTTTAATCTATAGTTATTGCCCATTTTTTTTTGTAATATGACTATGAACCTGCTCAACACACAAAATAGAAGTTGCTATTGGATAGAGATGAAAAATTTGGCTATTCATCTTAGGGTATGGTACTCAGCACCATTTTAATTTATGTATAGTTATTGTCTATTTTTTTTTTTTTTGTAATATGACTGTGAACCTGCTCAACACACAAAATAGAAGTTGCTATTGGCTCAATTCCTCTGTCCCAGTGTTTTTGGGATGTCTCAATGATATTTTTTCTTGCTGCCTTTATTTTTAAATATTTTACTATATTAGATTAGTTTTTATTTTAGTAGTATTACATCTTTTACTTTTGTAGATATCTGAGAAGTATGGATATTGTCTTAAAACCTAAAAGTAATTAATTTATTTTCCAAAAGCTTTTGTATTTTCTACTGCTTAAGTAAAGATTGCTGGTTCTCTATACTTCTTTAGTTTCTAGAAGCAATAAGTATTTGCCAAATATTCTAGAGTATATCACATTGTAGTAGGTCATTGAAGGAAAAGATAGTCTTTGTGTGTAGAATATATACTTCTAGCGTGAGTAATGAGATTTATTAAAATGTAAATATATAACGCTCTACTTAGTTTTTATATATTAGGATTCTATTAATCCCTTAAAGGGAAGTACCTACACAGACCATTAATTTGCCTTTTCTGTTGTATGTACTTTATAATGATTGCTTGAATTATAAGTAATAAAAGATGTTTAGTCATTGCCATCTGTTAAGATATGTGTAGGATTTTGTTAGTCATTGGAAAGTCTGTTTTGGGACCTTTCTATTTCAAGAAAAGTAATTATTGTACTTTTTTGTCATGAAAACTCATTTTTGCTTTAGAATTGTGTGCTAAACTAGTGTAATAGTACTTAGGAATCACAGAAGCCTCTTTTTCTGTCCTATATTTAACCATTTTTTTCCTTAACTGCAATAACCCATCTGATCTCTAATTTTGTAATCAAGGCAATACATTTCTGAGCTTTTCCTATTGGCTTTAAAATGACAGCTGTTTTATAAACATTCTCCATAGAAATATTTTGAATTATTTTTATATCACAGTCTTATCAATCTCTATTTTAAAAAAATAGGTTATTTAACTTATATTCTAAAAGCAGTAAAAGTTGACATCTATTGAATATGTTTATTAACTATTTTTAATAAGTTAGATAATTTTCCACAGAATATCTGGTGATCTAAAATATTTAGCCCTGGCCGGTTTGGCTCAGTGTATAGAGCGTCGGCCTGTGGACTGAAGGGTCCCAGGTTTGATTCTGGTCAAGGGCACATGCCCGGGTTGTGGGCTCGATCCTCAGAAGGAGACGTGTAGCAGGCAGCCAATCAATGATTCTCTCTCATCATTAATGTTTCTATTTCTCTCTCCCTCTCCCTTCCTTTCTGAAATCAATTAAAAATATATGTATATATAAGTTTAAAAATATTTAATGAATTTAAAAAGTCATTAATAAAAATTTTTTTTAAGAGGAAAACTGGAAAAAGTGTCGATTTCAGCATCCATCAACTATGCATATTTTGCAACCCATGGATATTCATGTTGAGTTGGCCAAGGCAATGGTGGAAAAAGACATTAGAATGGCCAGGTAATGTACGAGTTTCTTTTATACTAGAGGCCTGATGCACGAAAATTCGTGCAAAAGTAGGCCTTTCTTCCCCCGGCTGCCGGCACCGACTTCCCTCCGGCACCTGGGACCCTGGCTTCCCTCCTCTGGCCACCCACAGGCACCCGGGACCCGGGCTGGCTTCCCTCCAGCCCTGGCTTTGTCAGTAAGGACATCCGGAATGACATCTGGTCTAATTAGTATATTACCCTTTTATTATATAGATTATAAAATCAACAAGATGAAATATATCTGTATCAGTGTCTGGATTTTTAACTAAGAAAAGCTAGATTTCTGAAGAAGAGAAAAAATGATTATTTTATAGCAGAGATATATTTTTAAGAAAATATTTGTTTGATTTATATGTCACCTCTCTTTACTTTTTATATAAGTTGGTTATCCCTGTTTTTGAATGGATCGAATCCAAGGTCCAATATTGATGAAATAAAATATTAAAAAAGTAAAGGTTCTTTTGATTATGAAACTATAAAAAATCTTGAGAAAAATCTAAGAAGATGAAAAATAAGAACTAAATTTAGAATTTAAGTAGATAATTATGAAATATATATGCTGTCTTCTTAAAAACAGTATTATTATTGACATTCAGTAAACTGTATCTATTTAAAGTGTACAGTTCAGTAGGTTTTGACATGTAAAGCTATGAAACCATCACTACAGTCAAAATAACGAGCACATCCATCATCCCCCGGAGTCCTTGTGCCCCTTTGTATTTCCTCCTTCCTCCTTTCCTCACTTCCCTGGACAACATTGATCTGTTTCCTGACACTAGATTTGTCAAAATTGTCTAGGAATTTTGTATAGATAGGGCCATACAGTTTCAACTTTTTTGTTTGGCTTCTTTCATTTAGCATAATTAATTAGAGATTCATTCATGTTGTGTGTATCAATAGTTCATTGTCAGATGGATGTTAAACCAGCCTTGCATTATTGGATAAACCTCATTTGGTTATGATTATTCCTTTAAAATATTGTTAAATTTGGTTTGCTAAAATTTTGCTATGACATTTTACGTCTTATTTGTAACTTTGACTCTACAGTGTAGTTTCTTCTCCAATCCTTTCCCCCTCCCTATTATAGAGAAACTGGACTTTAAAACCTTATTGTTGACTTGCATTTTTAGATTTAAAGTATCAGGAGGGCTTCCTTTGATGCATGTGAGAATTTCTGACCAGAAGATGAAAAATGTGCTATGTTTGATTAACAGTATACCCTTGCCACAGAAATCATCTGTACAGTCTCCTGAGAGACAGGTAAATGGATATAATAAAATGCTAAATCTCTTTACGTTTGTATTTATGATGAGTTCTTTTTTAGCATTCTGTGAGCAGTTTTATTTTTAAATATTTTTTAGGGTCAGTTTCATTTATTTGGTGCACTTGAGGTTTAATATTGTTGAATCTATACAGAACTGCATATGACATTGAATAAATAACAATTGTAGCCTAGTTTCACTACTGTTTTAGAGTGGTGGTAGAAAATCAGTTTTAGGGAATGAAGGGAGCAAAAATACATAAGTAGAAGAAAAAACATCTTTCAAATTTATGAAATATCTATAATAGTAAAAGCATAATATGCTAATTAGACTGGACAGCCAAATGACCTTCCGGACGACCTTCCAGACGAAGCAGGGCTGTGAGGGCCAAGCCCCTTGCACAAATTTCGTGCATCAGGCCTCTAGTATTGTAATATATAGCAACTAATGACACACAATGATAAATAGACTCATCTACTAGAGTTGTACATTGTTCTGCCCTTATAATTGCAGGTAGTAGTCTTAATAATTAGTACTATTACCTTTTCAGTATTAGTTTCATTTCTGTATATTTAATCCTGCTAGATTAGTATATTAAGAAAACTTTTTATATTATTTGCTAGGTATCCTCAATTCCTGTTATTTCAGATAGGACAAAAGACCTACTTGGTACATCACTGTTGCTAGATGGAGTGGAATCAGGTAAGGAAAGTAATATGTTCTTTATTAAACCAAGTATATAGAGAGAACATTTTCAGAAAATAAAGAATTTTGAAAGTATTATAGTAATTTGCTGGTTTTAGTTCTAGTTGTGCTACTAGCCAACAGTGTGTTTTGAGTCCTTTTTTTTAAAGCCCAAGTTTCTTCATTTGATTGAAAGGATTTTTGTGAATGAAAACGCTTAAGATTTTAAATAAGCTTCTTTTTTCCCCCCACAATCACTACTCGATTCTTTTGTTTAGCTCTAGCCTAATTTATCTCTTTTAATTTTGAACTAAAATATAAGCTTCAAGAGGACAAGGATCATGCCTGTCCTTGTCACTCTGGTGTCCTTAGTGACTGGTGCAGACAGATGATGCATGATAGATGATACCCAGTACATATTTTATTGAATGTTGAATGAGTAGACCAAAGTGAAAAACATAGGCAGTTTGATTTTGTTTATACTTATTACTTGCCAGGTTGAGTCACTTTGTGAGATCTAGAAAAACATTGAAACTATATTCTTACTCTGAATATGAAGAATATATCTAATAAATGAATTTTTGAGAGATTTAAATTTGAGTGTTTTATGCAGCCCTCAATGGACATTCTTTCAAGTCAAATGAATGTCTTCTTCCTTAGAGTCCGATGATGAATATTTTGATGCTGAAGATGGAGACATACAGACTGGTAAAAGTATGAAAGGATCAGAACGAAAAAAAGTTGCAGAGGCTCCAAATGAGGAGCTCATTAATCTTCTACTAAAGTTTGAAATTAAAGAGGTATGCATATTTATTTTGTCTATAAACAAATACATTCTTATTATCACTATCCTTGTAAACTGTCCAATACTAGACCCAAACATTAAGTATATATAAAATGGGGTACTCTATTTTTCCCAGTGCCCGCCCCCCCACACATACAGTTCCAAAAAAATGAATTTTTGTTGTAAAATCTGATATAAGAGTGATCTATATTATATCTGATGTATTCTGAAAAAGCTCAGTACTCTTAATTAGGATTTTCTTTACTTTAGAAAATTTCTGTGACGTTTATTTAAAATTTTTCCCCTTTAATTCTCACCTGAGGATATGTTTTTTATTGATTTGAGAGAGAGGAAGCAGCGAGGGTTGGGGGAGAAGAGAGAGAGAGAAACATTGATGTCTGAGAGAAACATGGATTGGTTGCCTTCTCTACTCGCCCCAGCTGAACCAGGGCCAGAGTAATCCTTTTAAACTGGAAGTCAGATTTTGTCACTGCTCACCTACTGGCTTCTCATCTCACTCAGAGCAAAGGGCTTAGTCCTTCCTACGGCCTACAAGGGCTTTCATGGAATTCTTTTCACTCTACTCCAGCTATATTTCATTCATTCCTGCAGTAAGTATTGATCAAGTGCCATCATGTACCAGGCATTGTTTTAGGTACTGGAGCTAAAGTAGTGAGCAAAGTGCTTGTCTCATATTGCTTACACTTGTCTTTTAGTCTCCCTTACTTATACCAAAACACATTCTTTGTGCTTACTGTTACCTTTGCCTGGAATACTCTTCCTGCATAACATACTTACTCAAATGCCATCATATTGGAAAGGTCTGACCCCCCCGCCCCAATACAAGATAGCAAGCTTCGTTTTCCTCCACTCTCCCTAGAATGTAAGCTTCATGAAGACAAGAACCTTGTCTGTCCAGGTCACTTCAATGTCTTTAGTGGCTGGCACAACTTCATACATGGTAGATGATGGCCAATAAATATTTTATTAACTATTGAATGAATGAACTAAAGTGATAAATAATCAGAATCCTTTAAGGAAAAAATAGTAGTACGGTTTGAAATATTTTTCCCAATATGACTTTTTTTTGGTGCCATTTTGAAGTTTTAAATGTTTCTGTAGTGCAATTTATTGAATTTTGTGTTTATATCCTAGTTATAGTGTATGTATAGAAAATTATTCTCCATTGCAAAAAATACCCATGATTTTATATTTTATGGCATCAATGCTGTCATTTAAATCATCGATACATCTCAAATTTATTTTTGTATGTCAGTTCTGTATTGAATATTTTTACTATAGATTCTGTTTTTCAGGTAACATTCTTCCTGGTTTTTCTTAAGTTTAACACTGCTAATAATATTGATTTTTGCTTTCTTTCAATATTTACAGTGTTTCAGTTATTATTGCTGCCTCATAGGTTATCCCAAAATGTAGTAGCTCAAAACAGTTATTTTATGTTGCTTACAGTTTTGTGGTTTAGGAATTCTGGAAGGGTACAGCTTAGTAATTTTTGTGTATAGTCTTTCACACGCTTATAGTAAGATTTGACTGATGTTATAGTGACCTGACGTGTCAGAGGGGCTCAGAGGTGGCTCACTGATAGGCTGGCCATTGATACTGGCTGCTGGCTAGGAGCTCACCTAGGACTGCTGACTGCAATACCTACCTATTCATTGACTCCTGCACATGGCAAGAGTAGTTGAACTTTTTGCATGGCAACTAGCTTCCCTCAGGATGAACATTCACAGAGGAAGTTTTATAGCCTTTTTTGACATTGGAAGTCATTATAGTATTACTTCCTCTGTACTCTATGATGAAGGCAAATAACAAGCCTGCCCAAATGTAAAGGGACAAAGACTCGCCATCTCTTGTGGAGTGTCAAAGAACTTGCATGTTTTAAAAATTGCCACATATATATTTTATTTTTCATCTGGTAAATAAATTGAATAATAGTATAATAGTGAATTTCCAGAATAAATTTGAACAGTAGTATAATAGTGAACATCCTTTTGCTACTTTTTATATTAGTGAGAATGTTTCTTACATCACTAAACATGATTTCTTTTTTGAGATAAAGGTTTAAGAAAATCATATTACGGAAGAATCCATACATTCCATTTTTACTAAATTTAAAAATATAAATCAATAATGGATATAAAATTTCATCATAATTTCATATAGATATAGTTATAATTCTCAAAATAGAATTTAGATGATAATTTCCAATCATAGTAAATAAGTAATGGTAGTAGACAAGTGTGAGCAAAATTTTTATGCTTCTCATGATGATATGTGCAAAGAAGGCTTTTGTTTTTTTAATTTTTTTTTAGTATGATTCAGACTACTTAACCTTTCATTGATTCTTTCAGGTGATTTTGGAATTTACCAAACAACAGAAAGAAGAAGATACAATTCTAGTATTTAATGTTACTCAGTTAGGAACAGAGGCTACAGTGAGAACATTTGATTTAACTGCAGTATCTTACCTAAAGAAAATCAGCTTGGATTACCATGAAATTCAACAAGGTAATAATAAAAATGGAAACAATAGCTAATAATAAATATAAAACCACTTTTCTGTGTCTGAAATACTTTCATTTATATAACAATGTTGTTAATAAAAAATAGCTAGCACTGTTCTAAACATTTTTCAAATAATAACCCATTTAATTCTTATAAGAATGCTATGAGAAAGGCAATGTTACAGTCTCCAGGTTGCATATGAGGAAACTAAAGCAAAAGTTGTTTATGTAATTCATCCAAGGTCATTCATCCTAGTTATTGGCTGAACCCTTGAAATCTGGCCATTGGGTCTGGATTCTTAACTACTATGATCTACTACCTCGTAGAGTTCATATAAATCTCCTTTACATGGGAGTATTATTTCCATTTTACAAACAAAGAAAGGTTAAATAGTTTACTTACTCAAGTTCATGCATCTTTTGAATGTCCAAACCTAAAATTTATTTCTGGGCTTATAATATTGAAGTCCTTGTTCTTTCTATTGAATTAGGGAAGCAGCACCACGTTATAAAAATAAAAATGGTGGAATGTAAAATTCTTTCAGAAGTGCTTATAGTTTATTTATTTAAGTGTACATCTTGTGTGCTCATGAGGTATATAAGGAATGAAAGAATGGGTGAATCCACTTTAATTAAAATTACCTAATATTTTAGTCAAATAAAATACCTACTTTTTATTTTTTTAAAAAATGGTTGAAACTAAAATCTCAGTTTACGGGAAAAAGGGTTATATATTAGTAAGTTTCTGTAAGCACTGTTAAGATGGAATTTATATTACTATTTTAAGGGCAACAAATACAAATAATAAATTTGCTAGGCTATTTTTTCCTTTAAGGACAGTTATTTCAAGGTAAAATTCTGAAATGTCTCAGAAACAGGAGTTATAGAACTATAAATAATAAAAAAAAGATGGATTCAGTAATGGATAAATGACTTCTCCCTCCATAGCTTCTTGAGGCAGTTCTTTGGTACATCTACTTAAGGATATAGAAGACATCTGATAGTACCTCTTGTTTTTAAATTCAAAGAAATTTAACATTTCCATTCCAATAAAAGAAATATTTTTCTATGTAAGCCTTCTCTTGGTCTAAACAAGGAAAAACTATTTACATCATTTAATAAGAATGAAATATTTGTTCAAAGAATTTTAGAGTTCAACAGCATATTACATATATTTCTAGTGCAACCTCCTTGTTATATAGTTGAGAAAACTGAAGTTAAATAGCTTTTGATAAAGGAGATGAACTAGAATTCACATTTTCTGATTCTTACAACTATAGTCTTTCTACTGCCTTACAAATGCATATATGGCCTTAAAATATCTAGAGAAAATTTTTTTAACACAGGTATAAAATCAAAGAAAATAAATATCCATGTTTTTATCTTAGTTGGATGAGAAAGGTAGGGTAAGGATTTGGATTAATTTATTTCTTCACCAGTGATTTTTAGTTGTATTTTTGAAGTGGTTGTTTGCGGCAGCAGTCTCCGGTGTTTACCTATGCCGCCATCTTGCTCGGACCTCCCAAATTTATTTTTCCCATTTTTACTAAATTTAAAAATATAAATCAATAATGGATATAAAATTTCATCATAATTTCATATAGATATAGTTATAATTCTCAAAATAGAATTTAGATGATAATTTCCAATCATAGTAAATAAGTAATGGTAGTAGACAAGTGTGAGCAAAATTTTTATGCTTCTCATGATGATATGTGCAAAGAAGGCTTTTGTTTTTTTAATTTTTTTTTAGTATGATTCAGACTACTTAACCTTTCATTGATTCTTTCAGGTGATTTTGGAATTTACCAAACAACAGAAAGAAGAAGATACAATTCTAGTATTTAATGTTACTCAGTTAGGAACAGAGGCTACAGTGAGAACATTTGATTTAACTGCAGTATCTTACCTAAAGAAAATCAGCTTGGATTACCATGAAATTCAAGGTAATAGACATAAAAATGGAAACAATAGCTAATAATAAATATAAAACCACTTTTCTGTGTCTGAAATACTTTCATTTATATAACAATGTTTATAATAAAAAATAGCTAGCACTGTTCTAAACATTTTTCAAATAATAACCCATTTAATTCTTATAAGAATGCTATGAGAAAGGCAATGTTACAGTCTCCAGGTTGCATATGAGGAAACTAAAGCAAAAGTTGTTTATGTAATTCATCCAAGGTCATTCATCCTAGTTATTGGCTGAACCCTTGAAATCTGGCCATTGGGTCTGGATTCTTAACTACTATGATCTACTACCTCGTAGAGTTCATATAAATCTCCTTTATATGGGAGTATTATTTCCATTTTACAAACAAAGAAAGGTTAAATAGTTTACTTACTCAAGTTCATGCATCTTTTGAATGTCCAAACCTAAAATTTATTTCTGGGCTTATAATATTGAAGTCCTTGTTCTTTCTATTGAATTAGGGAAGCAGCACCACGTTATAAAAATAAAAATGGTGGAATGTAAAATTCTTTCAGAAGTGCTTATAGTTTATTTATTTAAGTGTACATCTTGTGTGCTCATGAGGTATATAAGGAATGAAAGAATGGGTGAATCCACTTTAATTAAAATTACCTAATATTTTAGTCAAATAAAATACCTACTTTTTATTTTTTTAAAAAATGGTTGAAACTAAAATCTCAGTTTACGGGAAAAAGGGTTATATATTAGTAAGTTTCTGTAAGCACTGTTAAGATGGAATTTATATTACTATTTTAAGGGCAACAAATACAAATAATAAATTTGCTAGGCTATTTTTTCCTTTAAGGACAGTTATTTCAAGGTAAAATTCTGAAATGTCTCAGAAACAGGAGTTATAGAACTATAAATAATAAAAAAAAGATGGATTCAGTAATGGATAAATGACTTCTCCCTCCATAGCTTCTTGAGGCAGTTCTTTGGTACATCTACTTAAGGATATAGAAGACATCTGATAGTACCTCTTGTTTTTAAATTCAAAGAAATTTAACATTTCCATTCCAATAAAAGAAATATTTTTCTATGTAAGCCTTCTCTTGGTCTAAACAAGGAAAAACTATTTACATCATTTAATAAGAATGAAATATTTGTTCAAAGAATTTTAGAGTTCAACAGCATATTACATATATTTCTAGTGCAACCTCCTTGTTATATAGTTGAGAAAACTGAAGTTAAATAGCTTTTGATAAAGGAGATGAACTAGAATTCACATTTTCTGATTCTTACAACTATAGTCTTTCTACTGCCTTACAAATGCATATATGGCCTTAAAATATCTAGAGAAAATTTTTTTAACACAGGTATAAAATCAAAGAAAATAAATATCCATGTTTTTATCTTAGTTGGATGAGAAAGGTAGGGTAAGGATTTGGATTAATTTATTTCTTCACCAGTGATAACTTTAGCATTTAATAACCATGTAAATATGGGCAGATGGTCTTTTAAAACTTAATTTTTTAAAAATATGTTTCTTTGTTGATTTCAGAGAGGAAGAGAGAAGGAGAGAGAGACTGAAACATCAATGATGAGAGAGAATCATTGATTGGCTGCCTCCTGCACACCCCCCACTGGGGATCGAGCCTCAACCCAGGCATGTGCCCTTGGCCGGAATCAAACCTGGGACCCTTCAGTCTGCAGGCTGACGCTCTATCCACTGAGCCAAGCTGGCTAGGGCAAAACTTAATTTTTTAAAAAAAGAATAAGACATCTAGAAAATTCTAAACTTAAAAGAACAATTTATTTGAAACACTTTTTCTTTTTCTTTAATCTAGGATCCAAAAAAAAGCCACTTCACTTGATTAGCTCTTCTGACAAACCTGGATTAGATCTTTTAAAAGTGGAGTATATTAAGGTACGGGCCATATCATGTTTATATATTTATTGTATACTTCAAACTATCCCCTGAAAGTAAAAATATGACGGTAGATTACTATAGGCTCCGCATGTATATCATAGGTTTTAATCATAGGGATATCTACTGTTTCTCTTTTCATTCCTACACCTTCTTTCTTTTTCACTTAAGTACAGGACTAGACTAGGATTTTTACAAAGCCATCAAACTTCTTGTCCCCAAAGATGGAAACCTGGGTTGAAGTAGGTCCTACTCCTGATTTCTAGGGTATATTCACCTACCTATATTCATTGCATATATAGGTTACATTTGTCTGAATATTCTACATCAAGAGGTATAAAGTCAAATTGAATTGGGTTCAGTAGAGAACTGCCAGAATTAAGCACTCAAAAATTTACCATATGGGGAATGCTGAAGGAACTAATGGTATTTAGCTTTACTTAAGACTAGAAGCCTGTTGCACGAAATTTGTGCAAGAGTAAGCCTTCCTTTCCCCGGCTGCCGGCACCAGCTTCCCTCTGGCACCCCAGACCCAGGCTTTCCTCGCAGCCCCAGCTTCGTCTGAAGGGGATTCATCCAGAAGGACATCTGGCCTAATTAGCATATTATGATTTTATAGTTGATTTGTTTAATCATTCAACACTATTGAATGTCTTTATGTGTTAGGTTCTGTTAGGTGCTTGGGTTACAGAGATGAAGACTATTAGGGAGATAGATAAAAAACAATGAAAACATAATGTGGTGATTCTCTAATAAAGAAGAGCACAAAGCATTATGGGAACAGGCAGGCAGGGAAACTGCCTCACATAAGGTAAACCTTCTCACATAAGGTAAAACTTTGAATTTACTATGTATATTTCCAAGGAGTAGAACTTGAACCAATGAGTTATATTTTTATTCAGTGTAAAGACCTCACGAAATCAAAGTTTTCTAAAGATTGAATTTGTAAAAAAAATGAGGTTTTCTCACTGGAGGTATCATAAAATAGACTTGGCAAAAACTTTATACAGGAATTCAAGCATTAGGTGATAGATGGGCTAGATGACCTTTAAACCTTCCAACCTCCAGAGTTTATAATTCTGATTCCTAGCTGCATTTTCCACAAGTGAATGTTGTATGTTTGAAGAGGACAAATTTGCATGATTATAATAAATTACTTTGATGTAACTTTAAAATGACAAGAATATTAAATATATAGTGTATATAAAATACAATTGTAACAATATAAATAAACTAGAGATCATAAATAAGTGATTTATTTACTTTGGTCTTAATTTCTTTAGAACTCTTGTTTGTTTGTTTGTTTTTTTAGGCTGATAAGAATGGACCTAGTTTTCAAACTACTTTTGAAAAAACTGAACAAACAGTTAAGGTAAGAAATTCTATTAAAAGAATATAGCCTATTTGAAAATAACCTACTCTGGAAGTCTCCTGGTATCCTTGAAGGAATATTGACTGGGTAATTCGATGAAATAATCAATAACCAATAAAAATTATAAACCAAACTCATAGATACCATGCTCTGTGTTCATGAGCAATAAAGCTATTGTTTGGACTTATTATATCACATCCTAATCTTCTTCTTCTATATATATAAGAGCCTAATATGCAAATTGTTCCCTTGGGAGTTCGACTAGGAGACTGGGAGCTTGATTGCTCGCTATGATGTGTGCTGACCACCGCGGGGGGGGGGGGCACAGAATGAAGGAAGGTCCTGGCCAGCAGCCGGTAGCCAGGGAAGGAAGGATCCAGCCGGCCAGCTGGAAGGCTCCGATTGGCCCTGATCACCAGCCAGGCCTAGGGACCCTACCCGTGTACAAATTTCGTGCACCAGGCTTCTAGTTATTTATAAAGAAGGGAGAGCTATAGATGGGAAACTTGGATTTATAAAGAACAGTTTTAAATATATCAAATTAAATAACTGTTGTTTAATGCAGGGCTGAGAAAGTTATGTGAATTACAAGGAGAGATGTTGAGTACTTCTTGGAGCCATACTAAGATAGTTGTATAGAGGAAGAACAGGCAAAATGTAGTTGTGGGTTACATTATTAAGAAAATGAAACAAATGTGTTTTAGATTACACTTTTGAGAGATATGATATCTGTTGATTATTGTTAAACTTTATTTTTATAATTTTTATACCCACTTGTTTTGAAGCAGTGCAAAGAAATTCTTTTATATAAACAAAAATTTAAAGTTTTTAAATTTTCTATTAGAAAACCACATATTCTTGAAAGCAATTTGCATTGCCCTCTTAGCTTTCTGGGGTCATTGTTTCAAAAAAATCTAATATTTTTCTTCTTTATGTTATATATTCTTCGTTTCTTTTTAAATGATAGGACCATCATTTTGGTTTCAGAAGATCATTTAGTGACCGAGAGCTCTGTTATAATTGTACTTTTAAAAACATTTTTTAAAAATTGATTTCAGAGAGGATGGGAGAGGGAGAGAGAGATTGAAACATCAATGATGAGAGAGAATCATTGATTGGCTGCCTCCTGCATGCCATCCCTGCTAGAGATCTAGCCCACAACCAGGCATGTGCCCTGACCAGGAATCTAACCATGACCTCCTGCTTTATAGGTCGTCACTCAACCACTGAGCCATGTAGGCCAGGCTGTAATTGTACTTTTTACATTTAAATCTCATCAATGTCACATTTGAAGTAATTTCTTGACTTTTGGAGTTTCATATTCTAACTTACCTGTTTATATACTAAACTAGAGGCCCTGTGCACGAATTCGTGCACCTTGAAAGGAACTGTGGGCCATGAGGCTGCGGTGGGCACAGGGGGAGGTCTCGGCCCATCCTCTGTGCCCCCTCCTGGCCCCTCCCACCGCCACCCCTGGTCCCCTGTCTGCCAGCAGCCCCACCTGCCACTGCGGCTCCCACATGCTGACGGCTCCGGCCCCACTCGCACCCACTGATGGTGCGGAGCGATTGGGGCCTGCACCAGCAGTGTGTGTGAGCTGTGGCTGCTGCCCCATCGCCCCTCAGGAGCAGGTGGAGGTGGAGAAGCCCTCAGGGGAGATCAGGGCCAGCAGCCACTGCTCACACCCGCTGCTCGCACCTGCTGATGACGCTGAGTGATCGGGACTGGCACCAGGCACTAGCAGTGGGTGCGAGCGGGGTCAGTGCCAGCAGTGGGTGTGAGTGGCAGCTGCTAGCCCTGATTGCCCTTCAAGAGCAGGGGGAAGTGGAGAAGCCCTGAGGGGCGATTGGGGCTGGCACTGGGCCCTGGCAGTGGATGCAGGTGGTGGCTCCAGCGCCGACAGCAGGTGTGAGCGCTGGGCAGGACCGTGGTGTGCGGGAGCAAAGAATTTTCAGTAACCACCAGAGGCTTGCCTCAATGACAGCAACCGGCAACCTGCCTTGGTCTGGCACCCCCGCTCACCTGCTCCACCATCCACTGCGGCCCATGCCCACCATGTTCCACACACGTCCCCTGGTGGTCAGCGTGTGTCATAGCGACCGGTTGTTTGGTTCCACCATTCGGTCTATTTGCATATTAGGGTTTTATATATATAGATAGTCAATTGCAGATCCTAGAACCCATATATATGTTGAATATGGGGATGGCCATGACAAGCAGATTATATACTCTGTGATAATTATGCTACTAAAGTAGATTAATTAGGTTACTTTGATACTCAAATGAACTACCAAGGTAAGTTAAGTGTAGTTTACTCTCATTATATTCCTATTTCAGGAGTGTGTGATGAATCTTCCTCTCCTATCTCTTCCTTCCAAGTTGTGGAAGGCAAAATGCAAGCCTAGCTAGGAGCCTTTTGGTTTCATCTTGGAGACAACTGGTATAATTGGCCTGGGAAACTAATTTTCCTCTTTTAAACATCTCTAGGTGGCTTTTTCATCTTTAAACCTGTTGCTGCAAACACAAGCTCTTCTCTCTTCTATTAATTACCTGACAACCATTATTCCATCAGATGGCCAAAAGATGGGTGATGCCAAGGAAGTACAAATTTCAACTGAAAAGCAACAAAAAAATTCAGCTCTGCAGAAAGGTATGAAAACAGCTTGTTTGTTTTTTGTCAGTAAGGGTTTTAGAATTCTAGAGCTAAATGGGGAATTTTAAGGGACCTTCTAGTGCAGTCATTTACAGGCCATTTTCTTCATTTTTGTTCTTTTCTTCAAACTAACTCTTTCATGGGTACCTTATATGTAAACCAAATAGAATTAATATTTTTGTTTTTAAAAAATGTCTGGTTTTGTTCTTATTTTGGTGGTGGTGGTGGATGATTTTTGGTGGGTTATAAAGGAAAACGACTTATATTTACACTGAGCTTTTCATACCTTCTTAGTGGCTCCTGAAGGGGCTCCACAGAGGGTTAGCTTTCCCTTCCATTTTACAAATAAGGAAATTAAGATCCAGAGACATGAGGTCAGGGATATGGGGATAGCAGGTAATTAGTTAGGAGCCTAAATTTTGGATCAGAGAGAATTCAGTTCAAATCCTGACTGCTACTTAAACTATTTCTGAACTTCTCTGAGTTTCAATGTCCTCATCTTATTTACATTTTTTCCTTGCTTTTAAATGATAAAAGTAGCACATCGCATTATTAGAAATGAAAATTCTACAGAATATATAAAGCAAAAGAAGTATTTTAAATTTTTAATAATTTTATAATTTTTTTTTCTAAATTTTTTTGGGTGACATAGGTTAATAAGAGTATATAGGTTTCAAGTGTACAGTTCTATGCTACCTCATCTGTATATTGCATTTTGTCTACCATCCAAAGTCAGATCTTTTTCCGTCACTATATATTTTACCTTCTTTACCCTTTCTTATCCCTCCTCATCTTCCCTCTGGTAACCACAATACTGTTGTCTGTGTCTATGAGTTTTTGTTTTTCTTGTTTGTTCATTTGTTGCTTTCAGTTTTATATACCACATATGAGTGAAATCATATAGTTCTTAACTTTTTCTGTCTTATTTCGCTTTTTAAAAACAGAATTGTGATTCACTTAATATAGGGAAGAAACCTTAATAGAGTTTAGTTTACTAGGATTTCACTGTGATAGAATGCTTTGTTTCATTTGTAGTGATTGTATCCTCTAAGGATAGTGACATTATTGACTTCAGGCTGTTTGCCAAGTTGAATGCTTTCTGTATCAATGTTTGTGAAGAGAAGAACAATATTGCTGAAATCAAGATTCAAGGTAAAGTTCTCATAGTATTTGTTCAAAAGATAAGGTGGTTTTTTTTTTTAATGCTAAAATACAAATGGAGGGCTCTGAGCTGTGAAAACTGGGTACTTTTATTAAGAACATAATTGGACAGCATGCTACCTACTCTTTAGGATATAGATGTTGATCAGACTCTGACCATTAAATTGAACCACACTTTTTGGTATTTTGCACCTTTCTGAGAGTTGTCTTGGAGGTGAGGATTACTAATGTCAATGTAGAGATGCTACTAATGATCTGAGATAAGTGTCGATCCAGAATTCAGGTAAAGGTCTATGAAAATGCTTTATCTTGGTACAAAATGCAGAGCAGCCTTATCATGAAGAATAAAACCTGCATATTTTATTTTTTTAGGCAAAAGCTGCTAAGAATAATTTAGCTTCTTTCTATGACTCTGTCTTTATTGGCTCAATGTGGTCTGCTAAAGGTCAAGAATATGTTTAATGAAATTCTTGAAGAATTTAAAAACTAGAAAACTAGAGTTGTTGTCTTTGTTCTTTCTGAACTTGAAGTGCATCTACTAGTCTGAATTTAATTCATGAAACTTTTATAGTGTCCATGTAAATGACTGGATATAAGGTGTAAAGGATGGACTAAAATCCCAAGATAATCTATTTGTACTAGATTTTTTTTAGAAGGTTGAAAATTCAGTAATTATTTTATGATGAGTTAACAGGTTCCATTGTTTATAAAATTAAAAATATCTAATATCTCAACTTGTTTATCAATTGGGAGTTCAAACCATGCTAAATTTAAAAAAAATATATTTTATTGATTTTTTACAGAGAGGAAGGGAGAGAGATAGAGAGTTAGAAACATCGATCAACTGCCTCCTGCACACCCCCTACTGGGGATGTACCCACAACCAAGGTACATGCCCTTGACCGGAATTGAACCTGGGACCCTTCAGTCCTCAGGCCGACCCTCTATCCACTGAGCCAAACTGGTTAGGGCAAACCATGCTAAATTTATAAATATATCACACCCAAAATAAAATTATGCAATGGTAAGAAACATCTTAAGATCTTACTTTATTAGATCTACAGAAATTATAATAATAAAATTTTTTTTCAGGACTTGATGCCTCTCTTCTTCTTCAGTCAAGAAAACAGTCTCTATTTGCAAGACTGGAAAATATTATTGTCACAGATGTTGAACCCAAGACAGTTCATAAAAAAGTAGGTGATAGTAATAGTTAATATTTTTTGATGACTGAATATGAGATGTTATTTTTAAGTATATTTTATTTTTTAAAATTTTAATGAAGTATAATTTAAGAGAAAATTGTTTCTATAATGGGCTTTTATTTTGTTGTTATCCTCTTGGATGAGTACATTCAAATCTCTGCTTTCCAGGTGGTGTCAATAATGGGAAATGAAGTTTTTCGTTTTAATTTGGATTTGTATCCAGATGCTACTGAGGGAGATTTCTATACTGACATGTCCAAAGTGGATGGTGTGGTATCACTGAATGTTGGCTGCATTCAGATTGTCTATCTTCATAAATTCCTCATGTCATTCCTGGTAAAATCATTATTTATAGATTGACTATTCAACTTAGAAATAATTAAGTCTGATAATAATTATTGCAAATATTTCAAACTCCGGATTATAGGGAATGCATTGTTTTGATTATAGATGTTCTTTATGTATTAATGTTGAGGTCAGACTCTCTCTTTAACAGTTGAAATATGAATCATTTAATGATTTTCATCTCTTATGTATTAATGTTGAGGTCAGACTCTCTAACAGTTGAAATATGAATCATTTAATGATTTTCATCTAAAAGTGCAATTATTTTGGCTAGAACATAATGAAACCAAATTCTTAAGTATAAAGACTATTAAAAATATTTTTGTCAAAAGGAAAAAGAAAATAGTTTTTTCTCTGTTCCTCAGCCATATAATTATAGTTACAATTAGCCCTTCTCAGGTAACTAATAAATATGGGTGGATAATCAGTTATTCCTTTCTAAATCTTGAAAAATAGCCCTCAACTAAAAGTTATCTATTGTAAAAATATTAGCTCATAAATCAAATGAAGGTGGTATTATTAATGATGTGCATGTCTTCTGTTTGAATTTATCCTTTTATATTTTGTGCCCACAGAACTTCCTGAACAATTTCCAGACAGCCAAAGAGGCTCTGAGTGCTGCCACTGCCCAGGCTGCAGAAAAGGCTGCCACAAGTGTGAAAGATCTTGCCCAGAGGAGTTTTCGTGTTTCTATCAATATTGATTTGAAAGCACCAGTTATTGTCATCCCACAATCTTCCATTTCCACCAATGCAGTAGTGGTAGATCTTGGGTTAATGAGAGTTCAAAATCAGTTCAGTCTGGTGTCTGGTGAAGACTTCTTAAACCCTCCAGTAATTGATAGAATGGATGTACAGCTAACAAAGCTTAAGCTTTCTAGGTATACTCTTTCAGTATTATTTAATATTTTCCATGAAATTTTATGATCATTGAAATCCATACCCAACATATTCCTATGGCACAGAACAGTTTTTTAAAAAAATGTTTTTATTGATTTTAGAGAGAGAGGAAGGGAATAGGGAAAAAGAGAGGCACATCGATGAGAGAGAAACATCAACATTGATTGGCTGCCTCTAGCTGGGGATTGAGCCTGCAACCTGAGTATGTGCCCTGACTGGGAATCGAACCATGACCTCCTGGTTCATAGGTTGATGCTCAACCATTGAGCCACACTAGCCAGGCAGAACAGTTTTTAAAAATCAACTTTTTATTATGAAAAATCTCAAATCTTTGGAAATTGCAAAATAGTATCATGATTGTACCCAGGATCCTTCACCTAGATTCATCAATTGGTTACATTTGCTTTAACTGTATGTATATAATCATTTATGACATTTAAAATTTTTTTTTTTTTTATTGAGTATAATACACATATTACTGTGTATGAGTTTTGGGTGTACAACATAATGATCCAATACTTGAATATATAGCAAAAGTTATCACCACAGTAACTCTAACATCCATCATCATGCATAGTTACAAAAAATTTTTCTTCTGATTATCTTTAAGGATCTACTCTCTAGCAACTTTAAAATATACAGTACAGTATTATTAAGTATAGTCACCATGCTGTGCATTATGTCTCTAGGACTTATAACTGAAAGTTGAAACATTTTTTGCTAAATCACTTGACTTTAGACATTTTGTATGGTGATTGCCAGAGAGAAGGGGTGGGTGGGTGGAGGTAGAAGAGGGTAAAAGGGGGCTATAAATGGTGATGGAAGGAGATTTGACTTAGGGTGGTAAACACATGATACAATTATATAGGTGATGCATATTGTATACAGATGATACAGTAGAATTGTATACCTGAAACCTATATAATTTTATTAACCAATATCACCCCATTAAATTCAATTAAAAAAAAGAGAATCAACATCTTAAACACATTAGCATGTGTTTTCTAAGAAAAGGATATTTATCCTCTTACATAACCATAATGCGAATTCCACATAAATTCTGGAAGTTTAACATTGACATAATACTATCCTATATAATAAAAGGCTAATATGCAAATCGACCAAATGGTGGAACAACCAGTCGCTATGATGTGCACTGACCACTAGGGGGCAGACGCTCAATGCAGGAGCTGCCCCCTGGTGATCAGTGCACTTCCACAGGGGGAGCGCCACTCAGCCAGAAGCCCTGAGCCGGGTTCATGTCTGGCGAGTGCAGTGGCAGTGGCAGGAGCCTCTCCTGCCTCTGTGGCAGCGCTAAGGCTGTCAGACTGATGGCTTAGGCCTGCTCCCTGTGGATTCCCGGACTGCGAGAAGGTGCAGGCTGGGCTGAGGGAACCCCCTGAGTGCACGAAATTTGTGCACTCGGAGGGTCCCTAGCAGCTGCCGGCAGCCAGCTGGGTACTCTCACTCCCTGTGGATTCCCGGACTGCAAGAAGGTGCAGGCTGGGCTGAGGGAACCCCCTGAATGCACGAAATTCGTGCACTCGTAGGGTCCCTAGCAGCTGCCGGCAGCCAGCTGGGTACTCCCTCCCTTCCCCCAGCTGCCTACTGCCACCACTGCTACTGGCCAGGGCCTCCCTCCCTTCTCCCAGCCAGCCCCACCCTCCAGTTGCCTGCCACTGCTGCCACCGCCACTGGCCAGGGCCTCCCTCCCTTCTCCTGGCCACCTGCTGCCACCACTGCTACTGGCCGGGGCCTCCCTCCCTTCTCCCAGCCGGCCCCACCCCCTGGTCGAATTCCTGGACGACCTCCTTGTCGAGGGGACAATTTGCATACTACGCTTTTATTATATAGGATTTTCCCTTAACCCAGGATTACATATGGCATTTAATTGTATGCTATACTACTAGGGGGGATTGTGTACTGATAGACATTTATTCTGGAATAGCTTTTTAGCCTTTGTTTTTTTATGATGACAGATCTGAAGAATACAGTTTAATTTTTTCATGGAACGACTATTAATTTTGTCTGGTGATTTTTCATGATTTAATTGTACTTAGAGATTTTTGGCAGGAATACTGTGTAAGTAATGATATATTGGTAGGGCTTATACTAGAGAACACTTGAAAGTCTGTACATAATTCATTGTAAAATCATTTTCTACCCCATCCAAGGAGATTTAATTATCCTGAATAAAAAAGTTATGATATCTGGCAAGTCCAAAAAATAATCCTTGGAAAGAACTCCTTAGTAAATACTATTCATCTTGACATTTTTTCTTTAATCTGTACCAATGCACATATTACTTTCTGAACAACGGTATTTGATGGTTTTCCCCCCCATATATTCAACAATATGAATTTTTATTGTCACCTGCCCTGGCTGATTGTGCTCAATGGTTAGAGTGTCAGCCCACGGATCAAAGGGTTGAGGGTTCTATTCCTGATCAAGGGCATGTTCTTTGGTTGCAGATTTAATCTCTGGTCGGGTGCTGGAGGCAACCAATCGATGTATCTTTCTCTTATGTCGATGTTTCTCTCCCGCCCTTTCACTCTCTCTAAAAATCAGTGGTAAGAACATCCTTGGGTGAGGATTAAAAAAGAAAGTTGTCATCATCTATCCTCTGTTTAAAGAAAAAAGTTTTCTTAATGGCTGATTTTAATCTGTCCTTGCTAGTGTATATTAGATTAAGTTAATGATAGACTGAGTGTAGAAAACACCCCAACAGTATATTTCAAATCAGTGTTAGAGCAACTTTCTTTTTCTTTATTGATTGCAGGGGTCCTCAGACTTTTTAAACAGGGGGCCAGTTCACTGTCCCTCAGATCGTTGGAGGGCCGGACTATAGTTTAAAAAAAACTATGAACAAATTCCTATCCACACTGCACATATCTTATTTTGAAGTAAAAAACCAAAACGGGAACAAATACAATATTTGTATTTGCATGTGGCCCGCGGGCCGTAGTTTGAGGACCCCTGGATTAAGGTATTACATATGTGTCCTTATCCCCCCATTGCACCCCCTATCCTCACCGCCCCCCCCCCTCATGCCCTCACCTCCCTGGTGTCTGTGTCCATTGAGAGCAGCAACTTTTGACTTTGTGTTTTTTAATGATATGCTGCATTTCCTCCATATGTTTATGCATATATATCAATTATATTTTTCATTAGGACTGTGATCCAGCCTGGCATTTCCCATCCTGATATTCAGCTGCTGCACCCAATTAACTTGGAGTTTTCTGTAAATAGGAATCTGGCTGCATCTTGGTACCACAAGGTGCCTGTTGTGGAAATTAAAGGACATCTTGAGTCAATGAATGTAAGTATGAGAGTTTAAAGAAATCTTTGTTACCAAAATTTAGACTCTGAAGACTTTCTCAGTATAAATCCAAATGAAATATGGAATTTTTTACTGATTGATATAAGAAAAATTTCAGTGTGATGTCCAACAAAATCTGGATTATTTTTAGTAGGATTTAATCTTCAGTTAAGTATAATTACATTTTAAATTTGTGATATGTACACATTAGCAGAGGTCTGTATGTAAATTATTTATTAGTATATTACATTACATGTCATTCTATATGTTATATATACACACTTTTATTTTAGGGATATCTAAGTACCACTAAAGTAATTATAGCATTGAGGGAAATGCCTGTTTTTCATATTTTAGGTAGCCTTTTATTCCATTCAGATTGTTATTGTTTAAAAGTGGAATTTGTGTGTTTCCTTAAGTTGTCACATTTTTTTTTAAAATGATAAGATTACTTTAATTATTATTAACTTTCACTAAGGATCGTATAAGTTAAGTAGATGGGACTGATGTTGACTCATAAATCACATTGTTTTTCTCCAAATACTTTCCTATCTTTCAAAATAAAAACTTTAACATGAAGTACATGGTGAAATACTTGAGTGAGTAATGAAGGTATAATTTTATCTATACTTAAAGTTTTGTTATGTCCTGTATTTAAATTGTTGCATTTAAAAATGAAATATCTTTATTTTCAACTTCATATTTTGCAGGTTAATCTAAATCAAGAAGACCTTAATCTTTTATTTAGAATACTGGCGGAAAATCTTGGTGAGGCTACTGAAGACTTGAATAAAGTGAAACCAAGAACACAAGAGACAGGTAAGAGGCTGACAGTAGGTGGCATAAACATGTGTCTAATTTTATAATTTAGTAGGGGAGAGAGACAATAAAAATGAAGTAAACAAATATATATATTTACATATTGCAATTTGTAGTGATAAGAAAACAAATAATACGGTATTGGATACAACCATAGTTTGCTTTTTAATTAAGCAAATAGTTATAGTTCCAGACTTCTGAGTTGCATAAGATAGGAGGAGGCCATAAAGAAGGATTTCCAATTGATAGTTGATTCTTGGAATAATTATTAAATTTGCATTTATAGAAAAAATTTTGAGTTGGTACTAGGCTATGGTAGCATATTTGTTCTGATTTTTTGTTGTTGTGAATCCTCACCTGAGGGCATTTTTCCATTGAATTTTAGAGAGAGTGGAAGGGAGAGGGAGAGACAGAGAAACATTGATGTGAGAGAGACACATCAATTGGTTGCCATCCACATGTGCCCCGACCAGGGTTGGATAAAGCCTGCAACTGAGGTACATGCCCTTGACTGGAATAGAATCCACTGAGCCAAACGGGCTTGGGCTGTTCTGATTTTTAAATAAGGGTTAGTAGTAAAATATCTATAAGAATTGAAATGGTTGATGAATTTCTCTTCAACAAAGATACTGAAAAAATTGTCCTTCAATAAAAATGCAGAGTGTTTAAATGGTTGCAATGGCCCTTTTGACTTAAAGGCAAAGTAACTACCACACTTATTTTTAAAGCTGTTTTATATATATGCATATATATGTATATATGTATATATATACATGCATACACATATATAATATTTATTTTTTCAAGCAAATGGTACCATTCTATATGTATGTGTGTGCGTGCATGTTTGTGTATTTCTGCACTTTGCTTTCTAAAAAACTAACAGTGTATCTTAGTGTTCATTCTGTATCTATATCTGTCTATATATACTATGTATAGAAGAACTGCCTCCTTCTTTTTAAAGGCTGCCTGGTACTGAATTCTGTTGAAGTACTATAATTTATTTGGGAAGTCCCTATTGATGGACATTTAAGGTTGTTTTCAGTCTTTCACTCTTAACTTGTTGCATTGAATATCTTTGTATAAGTCCATGTATATGTGTAGGAGAAATACCAGGACTGCTGAATTAAAGGTATTTAATTAATACATTTAATAACATTACTTAAATTTTGACAGATCTTGCCAGTTTCCCCACATAGAACTTGTACTAATTTTGCATTCCCACCGGGTTTTTTTTGTATATACCTTTTCTAACAGAGCACATTATTAGATTTTTAAGTTTTTGCCAGTTTGCTAAATGAAAAATGGTATCACACTTTTTTATTTTATTTTTAAAAACCTTTTAAATATGAAACTAATACTGTTATATGTAAACTATGTATCAATTAAAAGAAAAAAACCTGAACTAGGTAAAAAATACTTTTTTACTGCGTGCATGTTAAAACACATAGTAAAGTACACAAATCTTAAAGTGTACAATTCAGTGAATTTTTACACCAGTATAATCACCATGATTAGGACGTAGGACATGTACAGTGTAGCACCACAGAAGGCCTCCTCCCTGTGCCCCTTCTGAGTCAATACCCAGTGCCCACCCTGACTCCAAATCCACCCAGAATTAACTACCATTCTAATTTGTAATGCTATGGATAGGTTAGTTTTGCCTCTTCTTGAATTTCATATATATGGAATCATACTGGATTTACTGTTTTTTTTTTTTTAATTTCCTTTATTCAGCATTTTGTTTGTGAAAGGCATCCATGTTGTATGTAGCAGTAGTTTGTTCTTTTTATTCCTGTACCATAGTCATTATATGAATGTATCAACATTTTATTTTACCCATTGTACATTAGATGAACATTTGGGTTGTTTCTGGCTTTTGGCTATCAATTATACAGTTGCCATGAATTTTATTGTAAACGTCATTTGTCATTGATAAATACTGTTTTTTATTTGGATATATAGCTAGGAGTTAGAATTACTGGGTCATATGTTAGCTTCAATAATCTATGCCAAATTATACCAAATAGATTTTCAAGTGGTCATACTAGTTTACTTTCCTACGAGCAGTGAGAATATGAGAGTTCCAGTTGTTTCACATCCTCACCAGTATTTGATATTGTCAGTCTTCCAAAATTTAGCCATCCTGACTGATATGCATTGATATCTCTATGGATTTTGTTTGCTGATTACTAATGAAATTGAAAACCTTTTTATGTACTATTTGCCATTTAGATACCCTCTTTTGTGACATTTTTATTGAAGTCTGTTGACCATTATTTTTATTAAGATATTTGTATTTTTTCTAATTGACATATAAACAAATTTTATTCATTCTGGATACATGCCCTTTACTGGTTATATGTGTTATATGTATATGTGTTGATATATGTGCTGAAATATATTCTCCCTCTCTGTGGTTTACCTTTTCACTCTGTAAATGGGTCTTTTAAAACAAATCAGTGATTTTTATTTTCTATTTAAGAAATCTTTGCTTATTCCAGGAATTGTTTTATAAAAGCAAAATAATTGCTACAATTATTTCCCCTGGATCACATTATGTTTAGAATAGTGCTTGGCATAAACATAAAGCTATAATTAAGAAACCTTTCTCTATGAATTGCTGTGTCAAAGGTAATATTAATAGTGGTTTTTCATCTGGGTTTCTGGAATTTTATTATTTAAATTTATTGGGGTGACATTAGTTAATATGATCATATAGGTTTCAGGTGTGGGTTTCTGTGTTACAAGATCTGATATTGCACTGTGTGCCCACCACCCAAAGTCAGATCTTCTCCCGTCACCCTTTACCTCCCACCCCCTTCCCTCTGGCAACCACCACACTGCTGTTTGTGTCCACGAGTTTCAGTTTTATATTCCACATATGAGTAAAATAAGATTGTTCTTAGCTCTTTTTGATTGACTTATTTCACTTAGCATAATATTCTCAAGGTTCATTCATGTTGATGCAAATGGAAGTATTTCATCCTTTCTTATGGCTGAGTAGTATTCCATTGTTTATATGTACTGCATCTTCTTTATCCAGTCCTCTATCGCAGGACACTTTGGTTGTTGCCATGTCTTGGCCACTCTGAGTAATGCTACATTGAAATTTGGGGTGCATATATCTTTGCAAATACATGTTTTCTAGTTTTTTGGGTGTATACCCAGGAGAGGGATTGCTGGGTCTTAATTTTTTGAGGAATCACCAGACTATTTTCCATAGTGGTTGTACTAGTATACATTCCCACCAGCAGTGAATGAGGGTTGCCTTTTCTCCACAACCTCTCCCATACTTGTTATTATTTGTCTTGTTGATAATAGCTATTCTAACAGGTGTGAGATAGTATCTCATTGTGGTTTTGATTTGCATTTCCCTAATTGCTAGTGAGGTAGCACATCTTTTCATCTATCGGCTGTTTGTGTGTCTTCTTGGTTGGGTTGTTTGTTTGTTTGGTGTTGAGTTTTATGAGTTCTTTGTATATTTTGGAAAGTAAACCTTTGTCAGAGCTACTGTTTGCAAGTATCATCTCCCATTTGGTTGGCTGACTCTTTGTTTTGTTGTCAGTTTCTTTTGCTGTGCAGAAGCTATTTAGTTTGATATAGTCCCATTCATTTATTTTTGCCTTTACTTCCCTTGCCTTTTTAATTCCTGTACCATAGTCGTTATATGAATGTATCAATATAATATTTGACACATTATATTGATACATATAATGTACCAAAGTTTTCCATAACTTTGGTACCTATATTTTTTTTCTGTGTAACTTATTATTTCTGGTCTTATATTTAGGTCTTTGATCCATTTTGAGTAAGTTTTTGCTCATGGGGACAAACTGTAATCAAGTTTCATTCTTCTTCATGTGCCTTTTCAATTTTCCCAGCACCATTTATTGAAGAGACTATCTTTACTTCATTATGTGTTTCTGGCTCCTTTGTAAAAAATTATTTGTCTATACACATGTGGTTTTATAACTGGGTTCTCTCTTCTGTTCCACTTACCTGTGAATCTGTTTCTCTGCCAATATCTGGTATAATTTATACTGGGCAAGGTACTGAATCTATTGGAACCTCAGTTTGGTCACCTGTGAAATGAGAGCAATAAAGTTTTTATCTCATAAGGTTGTTGTAAGAATTGAATGAGCTTAGCCATGGATAGCCCTTAGTATAGTGTCTAGCACAGAGGTAAGCACTTAGCAAGTGATAGCTGTTATTAGTTTTGTGTATTACAGTTTAGAGAGCAATTTTATTGCATCTCAAGGTGTACAGATTTTCCGACACTTTATTTGTATAGCTTTACTTTGCTTCTTGGTATGGATAAGAGGCTCTAATAACTCCCTCTTTTTTTCTTGTTATGCTCCTTATGATTTAGTCATAGAAACTACATTCTATTTGAAAAATCTATTGGGATGTTATCACTCTACTAGAGGCCCAGTGCACAAAAATTTGTGCGCTCGGGGGGCGGGGGGAGGGGGTTCCCCCAGCCCGGCCTGTGCCCTCTCGCAGTCTGGGACCCCTCGGGAGATAACGACCTGCTGGCTTAGGCCTGCTCCTGGGTGGCAGAGGGCAGGCCCAATCCCTAGGTGCAGCCCCTGGTCGGGCTCAGAGCAGGGCTGATTGGGGAGTTGGGGCGCCGCCCCCTGTCATGCACAGAGCAAGGCGGATCGGGAGGTTG